TTTCAGTCCACCTAAATAACATGAACAGCGCCCTCACCCAACCAACTGACAAATAAATTTCTCCATCTTTTGTACCATCTCCAGGCGAATGAACAAATAATGGATTTGCTCCAACTCCTCAGTCAATGGTGCTTTAGTAACCAACTGTGAAATAATGTGTTTGGATATCTGGATATAAAACAGTTACATAACAATGAAGGACAGTATCAGGGCCAACCAAACAAAATCATGTATAAAAGTACAAATGCTGCTACTCCAACGCCAGCTTCTATCAGGGATATGAAAAGCAAGTGCTGTTTTCCCAGCAACCTTCCAATGAGGATTTGCAATTCACTGTGGTACCGAAAAGGGACAACAATAAATTTCAATGCCTGTTTACAAGCTTTTCTATGTGCCTACTGCTAGATGGTGCTGGGAATACCATCAATTTTTGAAGAAGGCACCTTCAAAACGTGGTATCTCTAACATCAGGTTGCAACAGATACATGGAGACGCCACCACCTGCAAGTTTCCCTCAAAATTTTACTCTACGCTCAGGACCTGGAACTTCCCATCAAAGAGCACCACGGAGTTCCTTCAATGTAGTAGCTCAAAGATGTGGCTCATCATCCCAATTGAGGATGAACAATAAATGCTGGCCTCCTTGCAATAAATCCCAAGAATAAGTAACTTAAAGCAAAACAAAAAAAGCTACATTAAAACCATGTAACTATCACTGTGACAAACATTTACAGCCCTAAATGCTGCTGAGAAACAACCTCAAATCTTGCATGAATGAATATTAGAACGGTGAGTGGCCAACACTGAACCCGCATTTCCCATCAATTCGATAACAGGGATTATTGCTGACTGCTTGCAATAATCCATCGCTGATCATGGCAACCAAAGTTACAAACAGCAGCCTCTGTGAATGTGAGATATTAATGCTGACCACTCTGCAACATCTAATATGGTTGATACACAAGTCTCTTTCAATGCCTTTCTTTACTGCCCATCACACTGGCTCAGCTGGCAGCCGGATCCAATATGAGGGGTCTTGTGGTGCAGTGGGTAGCATTCCTGCCTCTGGGCCAGGAGCTCCAGATTTGAATCACTCTCCCTCCCCAGAACTTGACGGCCACAGAAAGTGGGTGCATGACAGAGATCAGCACGTTTATTATAAACCTGTAAATCTGTCTGATACAGCTGTGAGAGGTGCTAACAGTGGGAGAAACTGAGCAACAACTGGCCCACATTAAAAGATTCCGTGACAATTGGCCTCATTTCAAGGAAATGCTAGGGACAAATGGCTCTGATAGCCAATTCAAGTGGAAGACCTTCAATTGCAAAATCTCCAACGACAGTGGTTTCTCTTATCACCCAGGTGTCTTTAAATACGAGGCATTGCCTTCTTCTTCCTCAAATAGGTTCTATGCCTTGGCAGACACAGGGTCTGTTTCTGCTCTATCTTTCCACCAACTCCATCCATATATCAGATTATGTGTCCAGCATCCCATTTCAGAGGAGACACAATTCCCTCCAGTTGAGCTACAGGGGGAGAGAAGCCATCACCTTTCGTAACTGATGACAACTGAGGCTAAAGCTTGCACATTTAGGAGTTTATAGAAGTTTATGGTTTTCAGAGTACAAACCAGCTTCATGACACAATGATGGGCCACGTGCAAAAAGCAGAATAGCTCAGTTTCTCCATTTTACTGAAGGGAACTGTCTAAAAAAAATAAGTACTTTCAGTCTTGGCCAAGGTGACTACTTTGGGAAATACCCATTATTCAAACTTCCACCAAGATGCAATGGATAACGCTTCTGAAAGAACTATCCAGCACTGATTTTATATGAACCTTTGTTTTAATTTTAATGCTGTTTAGGAGCCACTGCATTTTAGATTTTAGTATTTACTCAGATCCCGGAATCTATACAAACATTGAAATTGGTCAGATTTTACTACATCACTCTATAAATCATTCGCATCTCTTGTGACCTTTCTCATGAGCTTTCATCCCAATCATGTGCCACTTCGTTACGCTTGTAGCCTTGTTTTTAAGTACTTTTTTTTTCCACACTGGTCATCTTAGAAGTTTTTAATCCCACTCAGAACTTAAAGGCAGAGATTGTTGGCAGAACTGTAGCAAGGTTGACTTTGAACCTGATGATTCCATGGGAACACAGAAACTGGACCAATAAACTGACTGGACCAGGGATGGAGAGCTTCTGCCAATATTCATGGCACTTACCTGGCAGTTGCCAACCAGCTCTTAGAGCATGAGATAGATTGAGGAGGAGTAGGCCTTTCGGTCTGATGAGCCCACACCGTCATCCATAACGCTGGGGCAGCGGTTAGCACTGCTGCCTCACAGTGCCAGTGACTCAGGTTTGATTTCACCCTCGGGCAACTGTCTGTGTGGTTTGCACATTCTCCCCATGTCTGCGTGGGTTTCCTCCGGGTGCTCCAGTTTCCTCCCACAGTCCAAAAATATGTAGGTTAGACCAATTGGTTGTGCTACATTGTCTGCTGTCTCCAGGGATGTGCAGGCTAGGTGGATTAGACGTAGTTAAAAACCTTCTAAGGGGTTACAAGGATTGAATGGGTCTGGCCGAGATGCTGTTTGGGTAGTCGGTGCAGACGCAATGGGCCGAATGGCCTCTTTACACATTGTAGGGATCCTACGATTTGATTCTATTCAGATTGTGGCTTCAACTCCAAGCTTCTGTCCACCCTAGACTCCATCATGGATCAAACACAGGTCAAGCTAAAACAACAGCCTGGCTAGGGTGCAGAGCAGAAGGGAACACCTTGGGATTGTCGGTGGCAAGAGGTGACAGGAAGCTGTGAACTCAAATCAGAGTGAGGGGGTGAAGATGGCAGAGGTTGGCAGAGGTTGATAGACTGGAGGGGCTTGATAGAGGTTTTTCTTCACCTCCTAGTCCACAGAGACAGTGTAAAATAACAAGTTGCTCACCTCTGGGATCCAGCAGCTGCCCACTCAGTTTCACTGCCTTGTTTCACTGACTTGGGACAACCATAGTGTTAATTTCAAATCAAGCTCTAAAATCATGCTGTACCAGTGCAAGTTGAATATGTTAATCACAGTCCTGCCTGCCCACAGTAAGAAAAACAATATAAATGCAAGTCTTTTTTGATTTATAATCACACACCGTTTATGACTACTGGATTCCCTTGACAGCTAATTGAATAATTTTGATGCATAGGCACTATTGCAATGTGGCAAACAGGGCAGTTAATTTGGGCATGGCAAGCTCCCACAAACAACAGTTTTGTCATAAGGATCAGACGTTTTGTGATTTTGATTAGGGGATAGATACTGGCCAAGGCACAAGTTCTGAGGAAGGGTCACCAGACCCGAAACGTTAACTCTGTTTTCTCCTCCACAGACGCTGCCAGACCTGCTGAGCTTTTCCAGCAACTTTGTTTTTGTTCCTGATCTACAGCTTCCGCAGTTCTTTTTTTTTAAGGCACAAGGTGAACTCCCTTGCTGTTCCTCTAGGGCCCTGAGAACTTTCACATCCTCTTGAGCCGATGTAGTCACATTCATCTGCTGGTCATTCCTAGCGTACCACAGAGTCACATTTCTTACCCTACCATATAGTCACATGTGACTGATCAGATTGTGCCCTCAAGTGTCACATGCGACTCTGTGGAGGTAATGTTTAATTTTAATTTATCATCTCTTCACTATTGGTTTCATGTGATAGGATTTTGTCTTCAACCTCTTTGAATACCAAGTTCGTCTCTGAACATCTTGTGATGCATTCTACACTTTGGATAGAAGATTCATTGCTGAATTTGATGCTTTATATGTATGTCACTGAAATGCACACATTGAGAATGAGCACAAGGCCTGAAAAATAGCTAATACCTTCCTTCCCCTTGGAACTACTTCACAACGTGTGCAGTGGTACCTTCCTGCGATTTGTCTTAGCCAAACAAATCTGAAGCTTTTATAAGTACAGGGTAATTGTGCTGTCTTGAAGTATGGACTGACCAGAGGAGATTACAGACACCATACCATTGACTGGCTGCTGGGTTTAAGGAACACTAAAGTTCAGATTCTTTGGATCCTTTAACATTCCAAATGAAGAAGAGTCAGTATCATGGGTTTCAAACCTAACACCCATTTAAACACAGTAGAAATCTAGTAAAGAAAGCTCAGCAGAATATTGTACCAGCAATGACAAGTATTTTGATTTGGGCAGTCTGAGGTCAGAAGCATCTCTTCACACAACAGTAGAGGAAAGTGAAAATACATTCCACCAAGTATACTGATGATGTACCAGGTTAGAGAATCACTTTTGAATAGGATAAGGGTACAGAAATACGGAGTCAGAGGTTCGATAAATGGACAGCGCTGACCTCCTAAGCTGGCATGGGGAACTCATCTGCAGCTGGCTAAGAAAACCATTACATCAGGAAACTGACAGTGGTGAAATCCCAGTTAAACTCCCACTGGTGTGAGTATCCCTATGGGCTCTGTATCTGCCTTCGCAAAAAAATGGCTGACATTGGTGATGGGGTCAGAAACACTGGCTTGCACTGCCATTTTTAGGCTCCCAGTATCTCTGCAAGCAGCTTTGGTGAGGTCCAAAAACTCAGCCCACAGATCAGCTACGGTCAAAGTGAGCCACAGAAAAGGGGTTGAATTGTCTACACTTTCGCCTATTTGTGATGTGTGGGAGAACCTCCAGTGCAAGTTCATTGTTTCAACTTCAAATAGCCCAAAAGAGAGGTGAGGTGACCAAACTACAATCCAGGAAAGAGTCAACACCTTCCAGAGAGAAGTGAGAGAGAGTAGAAACTTGATGAAATAAAGTCGTAACTTTTCCTTTGTTCAGAAAAAAAAAGAACATGCGAGACAGCTGCCTCTTTTTGGCTCAGTTTAGCTGGAATCTCCAAGATTTCATCATTCTGTTCTGGTAAACCATGTGATTTTGACAACTGAGCCACTACTTAAGCAGCAGCAAAGCACCAACAGGCACAGTCCACAAACTGCACGTTCCAGCAGTGAAAGCATCTGTCCTGCTCTGAAACATTCCGCAGGGGCTGTAGCTTCAGGCAAGCAAGAAAACGCGGAGCAGATTAAAGGAAGAAAAACTGACTGACAGTCTCAAAAAAACTGCTATTCGTAAGTCCACTTTTTATTCCATTCCTCAATGCAACTTTTAACTGTAATTCATACACTTGTGCACCATTGAACAAAAAGCCTTTTCGTAAACAATCAGTTTCTCAGATGCTGCAAAAACATTGTTCTGATGGAGAGTCAGCGATAACTTGAATCGTTAATTCTGCATTCTTCCCACAGATGCTGTCAGACCTGCTGGGTTTCTCCAGCAATTTCTGTTTTTATTTCACACCTCCAGCAACCACAGTTGTCTGTTTTATTTGGTTATTTCCAAGTATAGTTATTTGAGACATTCTGTTGCTGTGAGCAGAATTCAATGAGGTTTTGGATTACACTTACACATCCAGCACTTGCAGTTTCCAATGCTCATGGATTCTTTAAGTTTTTGAACATTTGTCTTCTTGTGTTTTCAGAAGGTTAGAGCACATTGACAAAACCAACAAGAAAATGAACTGCAAAATCCAGGCATTAACCCTCTTGGCTCTGGCATTTGTCTGTGCAGGTCAGTAGCAAAGTTTTGGTTAATCAAAACAGATGAATTGTGTTCTGTTGCTTTAAGGGATAATAAATTCCAATGCAACTTATCTTTTACAGAGAGCACCGTCGTTCCACCCAGATGTCTTTGCTTAAATGTTGTCAAAATGGTGCCATTCAGATTGGTAGAGGACTACTTAATCATTCCAAAAGAAACACATTGCTCAAAAATTCAAATCATGTAAGTAACACTGTAACCTGTGAAGACATCTTTCTGCTAAAGGGGCACAGCTTTTAATCCTTTATTAAAGTCTGTAAATAAGGGTATAGTAGTTCCTGCACTATTGCAAAGTGAGCAAACTGGGTGCATAGAATCGCAAATTAAAATGTTAGTTCAATGAAGCAGAGGGAATGAAATCCGCCAAGTCGTCAATAAACGTTTCAACTTAAGTGACCTGCTTAGGAAATTTTGGATGAATTGCCAAAAGAAACGAGGGCTCAGAACACAATAAATCTTCCTCCCTTCTATGTTACAGAGACTGAGAGTCAGTGACAAACAATAGCTCATCCTGAAGAGCTGAGTTGTATTTTCTGCTGGCACTTGTTCTATGTATAGCCTGTACTTCCCAGATTCAATCTTCAATATGCATAGCAGTATTGGGTGTGATAAACACAAATTCAAATTTCTTGCCAGCATTTTCCTCTTTTCAGTTTACAAAAAAATCACAAGAAATTCATTTTAATTTTGAGCTACAAAGGCGCAGACGTCATTTTGTAGCAGTCTGAAAAATGCCCTTCAGTCAAAGTTTAATTTCTTCCCAAATTCTATGATGCAAGTTGGGAAAAAAATATGGTGTTCCTCTCAGATTAAAGTAAAAGTCTACAACAATGACAAATCTAGAGGTGTGAAGAATAACACTGCTGCAAAGTAAAATAGAAATACAGCTTCCAAGATCACTCAAAAAGATAGGTTTTTTAAAAACAAGAATGTAAAATGGGGTAAAGAAGGAAAGAAACGAACCTCAAGTAGAAAGTTCTGATAGTTGCATGGTGGTCATTGTTAATGATTTTTCAGATACTTAATAGATTCATTCAAGTGTCCAAATAAATTTAACACCCAGCAATCTCAACATCAGCTAAAGACTCTAAAGACACATAATGCCGAAAATAACGTTATGTTTCGCATTTGTTGTATTCTTTCAGACTTGCAGTAAACATGAACAACTCAAAAATGGAAACATGCCTTGACCCCAAATCAAAACAAGGCAGATCACTTGTCGCATGTTGGGAAAGGTGAGCTCAAAATACTTTGTTTTATGACAGAGAAAGCGAATTACAGTCTATCATCTTAATTCAAATAAACGGAAAGTTTCAGCATTGAGTTGCATAATTTAGTTCAAGCATTAGATAATTGACAATTTGAAGATAATAAAAACTTTGAATCACCAGGAATAGAGCTTAATAGTCTTAGTAAATGGGAAAAAGGTGTAAAATCAATAGTGATTGTGCAGCATTTGATATCCACACAAATTATTGCCCAACCAATGTATAGTTAGGAGCATATACAAAATAATCCGTTAGATTAAACAGTTAACTGTTATAATGACAGGTTGCATTCTGTCATGGTACTTCAGCTGTAGAACTAAACATTTTACAATCAACAGATTAGCATTTGCAAAATAGAGAATAAAGAATGTTAACTGGCCACAAAACCTGTAGGTGTATGTGATAGAGCCAACAGGACAAGCTTTAACAAGTCTATCCTTAAAGGAGTACAGTACTTAGTCCTTAAAAAGTGCGTGCAGTGTCCCCATCTCTGGGCCACAAAGTCCAAGCTCAAATTCCACCTGTCCCAGAACTGTGTCATAACACATCTGAGCAGATTGATTAAACATAATTTGAAGAAATTTCATATTTGCTTTGCAAGCATTTCTATGTATCAAAGTGAACAGCCTTGTGCTGATTTGACTACCATTTAACCAACTGAAATCAACAATTTTACAGCTTGATGCATGGACTATGTAGATCAATACCTGCCCTGTAGTTTTCCCGAATACCAGGATTATTTAATTGAACTGAGTGCCAATTAATGAGTTAATTCATCAAAGCACATTTTAAATGGCTCCACTAAAGAAAATACACCCCTCCATTTATTTAGACAATGTAATATCTTTCAGTGTCTGAATCACAAATATTTCCAACTTTGTCACCAAGTGTAATGCTACTTGCACAAATCAGTCAACAGAACTTAATATACATGACAATTAAAATTAATTTGTAATGATGTTTATGCTGCAAATTCAAGCCAAAACTGAACATTTAATAGACAGCTTTCAATAAAGTTCTTTCCTTATTGTTCTATCATTTCAATGTTTGTACAGTTCTACATAATTTAGTTGATTAATGGAGAACTATATGTAAAAAGAAACACCGGCAGTAAATTTCTGGGATTCTTAATGATTAAGAGAATTGGAATTAGATAAGACATGTTAAACTCTGAACACTGCTCTGGAGATATATCATCTGAAAAATGTGTTCTTTTGCTTCACCCCTCTAGAATTGGCCATGACATCACGAGGAAGAGGGAATGTATTCCAACGAGCAGGAGAGGCACTAACAACTAAGAAAAGAATTAGATCCAAAAAGAGAAGCAGAGGAAGGGTGCTGTACTTAGAGAAGATTAAAAGGAAAAAGGAAATTCACCTTTTGACTTCTGATGTCTCTTGCGATTTGCATCACAGGGGTAGCCAATTCAGAAAGTGTTCAAACTTATCATTTCAAAATCAAGAACAATGAATTGTTCTCTTAATGTCTTGATTCAATCCATTACCAGTAATAGCTGTATTTAATTTCAGTATGTTTTGTGTGAAACAAAACCTAATCTAATGAAGCAAGTATGTTATTTATGTATTGTCATTTAATTCCATAAGTTACACTGATACTTTGTGCTGTGAGCACTTTCATGTCAAGTTTGTCCAAGGCACTGTGTAAAATCAGACGATATTGTACATGGTGACACAAAGCAAGTCAAAACTTGCCAAAACATCTACACAAAAAAAAAATTCACCAGACAAATGAAAATTGTTGTGCAGTGGTGTGTGTTGCTGAACCGATTAATCGTAGATCGAATCAAGCGGGTCAGTGTTTATACAACTAAACTATAATGCATTCCATAAGTAATGCACATTAAAAATGTAATTTTGAAGCTTTATTTTATTTATATTATGTTTTATATTGCACAGAAGGTATTTTATGTAAAGAAGGACAACATTTTCCAAGTGATTTTGTAGAGCAGAGCATATGTATTTTTCAAACTTGAAGATAACACCATGTATACATTGGCATGTTTTGAACAAACACGCCATTCATAGGTCAAAGCTGCAATTTCTAAGTTTTTACAATAAAATTCAAATGAACCAAGAAAAATTGAATTCTGTTTTTTTTGATTCAATGTTAGAAAACATTTTGTATTTATGTATATTGCATAATTGACCAAATGCCTATAGTTTGTCCCTTTTAATTCAAAAACACCTCAACATTTCTTTTATTTCTGTCATTCATTTGAATAATATTTATCAAATGGATAACATAAAGAATTGGATTCATGTAGAATCTTCACTGCTATAAAATATCCCAAGGAGTTTCACTTGTTAATTTTACATCAACTGCTAAGATTGAGAAACTTGATTGGTCAAACTATGAGATTTGAAGAAAAACACACTTTATTCATATACTATAGTTAAAATATAACAAACGAAAGAAGAAATTGGAAAATTTTACAGAATATTCGTCTAAGAATAAGGGGTAAGCCATTCAGGACTGAGATGAGGAAGAATTTCTTCACTCAGAGTTGTGAATCTGTGGAATTCTCGCCCACAGAAAGCTGTTGGGACCAGGTCATTAGATATATTCAAGAGGGAGCTGGACATGGACCTTGCAGCTAAAGAGATCAAGAGGTATGGGGAGAAAGTGGGAGTAGGATACTGAAATTGCATGATTAGCCATGATCATATGGAATGATGGTGTAGGGTCGAAGGGCCGAACAGCCTGTTCCTGCACCTATTTTCTATGTTTCTACGTTTCTAATAGATTATTTAACTACTAAACAGTAACTGTTCCAATATTGGAACATTCCATAAACACACACTTGGTAAAAGACAAAATTCAGTAAAATAGATTGTCTCCAGTCTAGGAGGAAAAATATCAAGAGAAAACTGAGAGAGAGAGAGTTGAAGGAGAGATGTATTGCAGTTTCCAAACCCAGCTTCAAAGCCCCAGCAACTGCTACTGAAAAACTAAAACAAAAAATCCTGTCTCTTGGGGAACTTGAGCACACCCATTCAGGCCACTTCTATTGTTCCAAACTTAGAAAATAAACCCTAAGGCTTCATAAGCTGTTTACTTTTCGGGCTTTGAAGCAGACTGATAGGCACTTCTGATTTCAATCTTTCCTGATTAAACCAAAAACAGAACAAAGTACACCTCTTAAAGCCATAGCATTGACGCAAACTTATTGCTGTGCTCCTCCTGCAATAATGCTGCGGGTGTTGGAATTTTGAGATAAGAACAATAAAAGCTGGAAAAACTCAGCAGGTCAGGCAGTATCTGTGGACAGCAGAGTTAACTTTTCAGGTCAATGACCTTTCATCAGAACTGAAGAGAATCAGAAATGGAAAAGTTTTTAAGTTGGTGGAAAGTGAGAAGGGCAGGAAGAACAAAGGAGTAGATTGGTGATCACATCCTTCTTAAAATTGTCCTCTTTGACCAAACTTTATTTTCATTCAAGGGTGGGATGTCAAGCCAGCATTTATTGCTCATACCTGGTAAATTTAATTAGTTATCATTCTCAAACAGTCACAGGATTAGCTGTGTGCCTGCACTCTTCTTTGGCTCAGCATTTATTTATGTCTTGCAGGTATTCCTTTCAGAATGATCCTTGTGAACAATATTAATTTAGTTATCCAGTGGTTGGTGCTGAAATAGATAGTACAGGGGTCTCTGATTTGTCCAGCTTACATACTTAACAAACACAATCCCTAAGAGAGGCATAAATTAAAGACCCTACACATGAACATTTCCTATGCATATGAACAGCTGCATTATATCTGACTTCGGTATAAATTGACTGGGAACGGGCTCCAGAATGGAACCCAATCGCAACCCAAAGTCCATGTGTTCTACATCCTTTATTGTATTGTCCAGGTAATGATTAATTGGTGCACAGAGGGCTGCCTTCAGGCTGTCAAGCTATAAAGTATGCATCTGTGCTCTAATGTCGTGTACTCAACCTACAGTATAATTAGTCTGCACAATGAAGCACTGATATTCCAGCCAAGTCCTCATAACTTTGTTTTGCAACAAACCTGTCAACAGAAGCTTTACCCACCAGCCTGAGGGCCCCTGTCAATCTGCATAGTTCACTAATAGGATCACTATCCCTGTACAGGGAGACTCAGTTAAACCTTTCCTCTGCTAGGGTGAACTCAGTAGTCTAGAATAAAATAGAATAGCAATTTATTGTCATGTGTATTTTTACAAAAAACAAACATGCAGTTAAAAGTTTTATAAGTCACCCTATCATGGCCCTAAACTAATGACAGAAATCATAAATGAAAGGAAAATCCCTACTTAGTCCCAATGCCTTATGCTTTTTCTGTACAATTTTATTAAATCAACAGAAACTGGTCAATGATAGTAGGAACTGCAGATGCTGGAGAATCTGAGATAACAAGGTGTAGAGCTGGATGAACACAGCAGGCCAAGCAGCATCAGAGGAGCAGGAAGGATGACGTTTCGGGCCTAGACCCTTCTTCAGAAATGGGGGAGGGGAAGGGGGATCTGAAATAAATAGGGAGAGAGGGGGAGGCGGATAGAAGATAGATAGAGGAGAAGATAGGTGGAGAGGAAACAGACAGGTCAAAGAGGCGGGGATGGAGCCAGTAAAGGTGAGTGTAGGTGGGGAGGTAGGGAGGGGATAGGTCAGTCCAGGGAGGACGGACAGGTCAAGGGGGCAGGATGAGGTCAGTAGGTAGGAGATGGGGGTGGGGCTTGAGGTGGGAGGAGGGGATAGGTGGGAGGAAGGACAGGTTAGGGAGGCGGGGACGAGCTGGGCTGGTTTTGGGATGCGGTAGGAGGAGGGGAGATTTTGAAGCTTGTGAAATCCACATTGATACCATTGGGCTGCAGGGTTCCCAAGCGGAATATGAGTTGCTGTTCCTGCAACTTTCGGGTAGCATCGTTGTGGCACTGCAGGAGGCCCAGGATGGACATGTCGTCTGAGGAATGGGAGGGGGAGTTGAAATGGTTCACGACTGGGAGGTGGGGTTGTTTAGTGCGAACCGAGCGTAGGTGTTCTGCAAAGCGGTCCCCGAGCCTCCGCTTGGTTTCCCCAATGTAGAGGAGGCCACAACGGGAGCAGCGGATACAGTATACCACATTAGCAGATGTGCTGGTGAACATCTGCTTGATTTGGAAAGTCTTCTTGGGGCCTGGGATGGGGGTGAGGGGGGAGGTGTAGGGGCAGGTGTAGCACTTCCTGCGGTTGCAGGGAAAAGTGCCGGGTGAGGTGGGGCTGGAGGGGAGTGTGGAGCGGACAAGGGAGTCACGGAGAGAGTGGTCCCTCCGGAAAGCAGATAAGGGTGGGGAGGGAAAAATGTCTTTGGTGGTGGGGTCGGATTGCAGATGGCAGAAGTGTTGGAGGATAATGCGTTGGATCCGGAGGTTGGTGGGGTGGTACGTGAGGACGAGGGGGATTCTGTTTTGGTTGTTATTGTGGGGACGGGGTATGAGGGATGAGTTGCGGGAAATGCAGGAGACACAGTCGAGGGTGTTCTCGACCACTGAGCGGGGGGATGTTGCGGTCCTTGAAAAACGAGGACATCTGAGATGTACGGGAGTGGAATGCCTCATCCTGGGAGCAGATGCGGCGGAGGCGAAGGAATTGGGAATAGGGGATGGCATTTTTGCAGGAAGGTGGGTGGGAGGAGGTGTATTCTAGGTAGCTGTGGGAATTGGTGGGCTTGAAATGGATATCGGTTTCTAGGTGGTTGCCGGAGATGGAGACAGAGAGGTCCAGGAAGGAGAGAGAGGTATTAGAGTTGGTCCAGGTGAACTTAAGGTTGGGGGGAAGGTGTTGGTGAAGTGGATGAACTGTTCGAGCTCCTCTTGGGTGCATGAGGCGGCGCCGATACAGTCATCAATGTAACGGAGGAAGAGGTGGGGTTTAGGGCCAGTGTAGCTATGGAAGAGGGATTGTTCCACGTAACCTACAAAGAGGCAGGCATAGCTTGGACCCATGCGAGTACCCATGGCCACCCCCTTTGTCTGAAGGAAGTGGGAGGAATTGAAAGAGAAGTTGTTGGAATCTGTATATACCCGACAGGTATGTCTCACAAGAGCACTTTATTTAGTACAGGTATCCATTGTGTTGCAATTTGAATCTCAACAATTATCATTATTAATAGAAGATGATGAATTTTCCTCTGTGGCAACTGCATATCACACAAGACAAATCTGATTGTGCCCTGCATTAAGTTAACTGATGTTTATAGAAACTGACAGGTTTAACAGAACAGCACATTTCTAGACCACAGTTTCTCGACATTCTGCCAATCTATCTGGAATCAAGAATCTACTGATGACCATGAAACCATTGTTAATTGACGTAAAAACCCATCCAGCTCACCAATGTCTTTGAGGGAAGGAAATCTACCACCCTCATCTGGTCTGGCCTACATATGACTCCAGGCCCACAGCAATGTGGCTGACTTTCAACTGCCCTCTGGGCAGTTGGTTGGGCAATAAATGCTGGCCCAGCCAGCAATACCCACATTCTGTGAATGAATTGGAACAAAGTTACATTTTGCAGAGTGATTTTCAACCATTGTAAGTCAACAGCTGAATCAGACAATGCAAAAAGGACACAATTAAACAATTCTTTTAAACTTAATCACCCATTCTGGCTGTGATCTTGTGACAGCATTGTCTTGAACACGTTTTTCTTTCAACACTGCAAACCACAGATGGTTACTCTATAATGACACAATGATTTCACAAGTCAGTAGTGCATTAATCACAAGGATGTGCCCAAACATGTTCAACTGTAGCTAAGTACCTTGCTTCAAGTGATATACTGTTAGCGCCCCTACCACTGGGCTACAAGGTTAATCCCACCTGATCCAAAAGTGAGTTAGAACATGATTAAAACTAGAAGAATAAGTTTTATCTAACACTCTAAATATATCATAAATTCCTGAACTTGAGGCATTTTGGCAAATTTATGAGTAATTAAAACAAAACTTAAAATATTTGTTTCTACAGGTGATTGATGCAGTCAATTGATGTCCTAGAGAATTATCTTTGAAAGTCTGCTCACCATTTATTTTTTTCTTTACCCAATCTTTTCCTCTTACTTTCCAAAGATGTTG